ACTGATAATTCTTAAAATACTTCAGCCATAATTGAACCCAGAAGTTTAAATACTGTTCAATTATTTATTTATTTAGAAATTTTTGCCATAGGACATAGGCACTCACTGGAGAGAAAAAAGGAACAGATGGAAAGTAAGAAATTCCCTCCCAGGAGGGATGGCAACTGCAATTCCTTCTCCTCCATTCTCCTCTTGGGATTTTAGGCACACACACACCTGGGCCTGGCGTGTTTTAAGCGTCCAGGTCTTGGACTTGTACTGCAGTCAACCACGTGAGAGTCCAGCACCTTAACCACTACACCACCTGCTGGTCCCAGTACTGTCCAGTTTTGACATCTCTTTTACTGATTATTGAAGTCTGGAGTGAGTTGCTGAGTTAGAGGGAAGGGGTAGCATCCATTTCATTGTCTACTTGTTGACTCTACTGTTATTGGAACCTCTATATGGTTTTCATTTTTCTGTGTTTATTCTCAAGAAGTGAATCATATTTATTCCTGTGAAAGCCCATTTTATTAGATCATACTCATCCTTTCAACCTCCTCTGTGGCTTTGTATCATCAGCACCCAAGATAGTGACACTGTGTTGAGTAGGCTAGGGAATTCTTCAGCAGTCTTGTATTTAGATCTGAATTGGTACTAGGTTTTTAGTTTTTCAAATTTGTGAATAATCAATACTTTAGGACAAACATACCTAGAAGCCATTTTTATTGTTCAATTACATTTTACATTTAAATGATACATTCTGTGAAAGATCTTGAAAATTGTCAAGTCTGATCTGATCATGTTAGCACCTGGATATTCATGATGGAAGTACACATGTGTAGAAGCATGTAAAAACTGACTTCTTGAGAACACTGTTATACTCTGGTCTTTATTTTAAACCTTATTTCTTTGCACTGGTTTGATGAGTGTTGTAAGGATAGCTTATTTTTAAGTCTGCCTTCATGTTCCTGTAACTGTGGTCTTAATTATCATTTGTTACTTAAAAGTATAGGATATATAGTAAGACTGTCTGGGTACCAGTTCCTAGTCAAGTGATTGTGGGCAGGTAAGTTCATCTTTCCAAGTCTCAATCTGCTTGTCTGTAAAATGAATTAAAACAATGGCTATCTCCTTTGCTGCTTTTTAGGACAAAAGGAATGTAAAGCACCCAGCACACCCCCACACACAAAAAAAAAAAAAAAGAAAAAAGAAAAAGCTCTCTCTGTAAAAGTTATCCTAGGGACCAACAGATGGCATAATGGCTTCATCGCTGGACTCCCATGTAGTCGACCAGGGGCGATGGCCATACCACAATCCCTTCTCCTCCATTCTCCTCTTGGGAATTGGGCACACATGCACACACACCCGGTGTGAGTTTAAGCCACTGGGCCCAAGACTCGAACTGCAGTTGACTATATCGGAGTCCAGCGACATAGCCATTACACCAACAATTGCTGGTACCCTTAACAAGGTTTTATAAAACTTCAGATTCTGATTAAATTAAATGTTTGTCAGTGTATATAGGTTTAGCAGTTCCTGTAAGCATCTGTTTTTATAATTGCAGTTAGTCTGTCTTCATAGTGACTCATTCCCCAGAATTGAATTTTATTCTCAAGTAGTTTTGGTGCATAAACCAAAAAGTTTTCTCTACATTTAGTTCTTCCTTTCTTAGGGAAAGGCCTCCCCAAACTCAGCATCTGCCTCCCCAACATTTCAAGTCACTTTTGTTATATAGTCTCTTTATAAACATTAAAACATGTCTATATTGTTGATTTGGCTCTATTAAAAGTAAATATAATACATAAAAATGAGTACTCTTACTTATGTAAGATGTCTGAGGAAAATAAACTGAACAAGAATGTGAAAAGGAATAAATTTCATGTATGTGGAAAAGTTGGTACAGTTAAAGGATTTCAAGTAGCCTGAACATGTATACAGTTATAGATGCTTCTCTGAGTCCGAATTAAGCTAAACTCTGAACCTTTTGAGATGGGCAAAAGAGAAGGAATAAATAGTGAAGGTTGATGGTCAGGGGGCAGTTCTTGGGACTAATGAGAATGCTGTCCCATGCAGGGAGCATAACATGGACAAAGGCCTGGAGGAGAAGCGTGCTTCTACTGGAGATGAGTGTTGAAAGGCTTTAAGCAGAGAAATGAATGAGAAAGTTTCTGTTTCAGAAAGGCTACTCTGACAACACTGTGGTATACAGGGTGGCTCTATTATGTACAAGGACAATCCTTCAAAGAGTTGTGAACCATGAAAACCAACTGCTACCCCTGTGACCCTCCTGAAACTGCTCCCACCTGGGTTTAGATTGGGGAATTAATTAAACCCTTCCTGGTAACCCCTAGTTCTGCATTGGGCAGTGGGTGAACAGGTCCTTAGCCATCTTCTTCTATAGAATTATCTCAGTGAAGAAGAGTCTGACATCGGCCTAACTTCCTCTCCAGGATCCTGGGAAGATTGTCCCCTAGCGAAGAGACTATTTTCTCCAACAGGGAAACCTGGCCTGAGCTCTTTCCTCATGTGACTCTCAGCTACATATTCTGTTTTCCTAATGATGTTAGATGCTACCCTTACTCCATCAGCAAGTGTGCATTATGCACCTGTTGTATGTCCTGCATGGGTTGGAAAGATGCCAGTTAAGTGTCCCCACTTAAAAAGATCACAAAGTATATTGCGTACATGCTTTAAAAATCCTATTGTACTGGGACCAGCAGTTAGCATAATGGCTATGTCGCTGGACTCCCATGTAGTCGACCACGGTTTGAGTCCCAGTCCCAGTGGCTTAAACTCATGCCAGGTGTGTGTGCATGCATGCCCAAGATCCTGAGAGGAGAATGGAGGAGAAGGGATTGTGATGTGGCCATGCCCCCTGGGGATAATTTCTTGCTTTCTGTCTCTCTGTCTCTATCTCCCTGGTGAACACACTCAGCCTATAGCAAAAACCTCTCAAAAAAAAAAAAAAAAAAAAGGATTGAGTAACCAGCAAATGCTGTAGCAGATACATCAACGGACTCCCAAATGGTCAACTGCAGTTTGAGTCTCAGACTCGGAGGCTAGAAACTCACACCAGGTGCATGTGCATGCATGCCCAAGATCTGAGAGGAGAATGGAGGAGAGAGGATTGAGTCATGGTTGTCCCCCCTGGAGGGTGATCCCTCACTTTCTGTCTTTTTATCTCTCTCTGTCTCTATGGGGAATGCACTTTCCCTATAGCAAAAAATCTCTCTAAAAAAAATAAAAAGAAAATGGCTTCAGTTAGAGTTACAAGTATTGAAAATTGTAAAATGTGTTGGATGGATTTGCTAGCTGAAATGGCCATACCACTAAATGAAAATGGAATTGAAATTGTTTTATGACTTAAAACTGTTTTATGCCTTAAAGTGACTATATAACTTTGGTTAAATAAAAGTAATTAGAAAAAAATATAGAGTTATCCACATTTTCATACAGGGTAAGAACTACTACATTGAATAAAATTAAGAGAAAAGTGAAGGATGAAATGAAATTGCTTTTGAAATGGCATCTCTCAAGTGATTCTTATTTGGTATATTGATTACATAATTGAATATGAAGAATGTAGAAACACCAAATGCTTTTAACTCATAAACCATGTTGCCTTTTAAGTTTAAAATGATCTTGTGAAAGCTAGCTTGAATTCAATGGCAAATCTAGACTCTTAGTACATTTTATTTCTTAATCTAATGTGGTAATAAGAATCGTTGGGTTTTTCCCATTTGTCATAGCATTTGTTTTTATCTAGTTGTTGGCTTGCTGACAGTGGTGTAAAACTGGAAACCTTTAGTTGTTCAGTGCAGTTGCCTTTAAAGTGAACAATTAATATTTCTTCAGAAAATGTTTACTATTTTGGATAACTGACCTGATGTATTATAATTTAACTTTTTCACTGGCAGTGCCATAGAATAATTTTTTTTTCTAGTGGCTATTCCAAAATGATCTGAGTTAGGAAAATGTTGCTAGTTTTCGATATATTTCTACTGCTATTTTTCATTTTATACAAAGACTGTTGTAGACTAATTATAGAAAATTGCATTTGGTGCTCGTTATATGGGTGTGAAATTAACTTCATTGCTGATGGCCTGACATTTAGAGTGAAATGAGGTTGCTTTCTTTCCTGGGACTCCGTGAACTATATTGAAATTGCATTATTTCCTAGGATTCTGTGAACCATATTTTAAATGCCCTTCAATGATAAGCAGACAGTTCTGTTTTCTTAAGTTGTCTGAAGTCTTGGTTACACTTCACAAAATATGAACATTAGGATATTTTTACATACAAATTTTATCAGATATTCTCCTTTAGAAAATATTCTTATATTGTCTTGTTATAAAAAAATTGCGTGAGATTTCCTTTTTGTGACTTTAACCTAGTAAATATTTTATTTGAAGTGTAAATTCTGTCAACATAGAGATACCTTTGTTTATCCTCAATCTTTCACTATCAGTTATTTAACTGTCAATATTTCTAACTTTATTTTATATTAGAAAAGACTGCACCTAAAATTTAGATCATGGGAAAAACTACATTTGTATCACTCATGATGTAAAAGAAAAGATCCTCACTTCTTGCTCACTCCTGACATAGGTCATTACTCATAGCAGTTACAAATATCATTGGAAAAGCTGTCACAAAACCTTCTAATGGGATCAGGAAGTGGCATGAGGTTAAGGCATCTGGATCCCACATGGCTGACTGCACTGTTTGAGTCCCTGATTGAGGCTTTACAAACACACCAGGGGTGTGTGTGAGCATGCCCAAGGTCTGGAGAGAATGAATGCAGTGTGGCCATCCCCTGTGTGTGTGGGGGGTGGTGATTTCTCACCTTGTTTGTCTCTCTGTCTGCCTGTCTCTCTCTTCTCTCTCTGGCAAGCACACTCACCCTGTAGCAAACTTAGACACACACACACACACACACACACACACAAATCCTTCTTACAAGTATCTTTCTATATATTTTCATTTCTTTTTAATGCAGTCCTCTCATTTTGTTTCAGGCTCGCAGGAAGGAGGTATTCATCCAGGAACGGTATGGGAGATTTAATCTAAATGACCCCTTCTTGGCACTCCAGAGAGACTATGAAGCAGGTGCCGGTGACAAAGAGAAGAAGCCGGTTTGTACCAACCCCCTGTCCATCCTAGAAGCCGTCATGGCCCACTGCAGAAAAATGCAAGAAAGGATGTCCACACAGCTGGCTGCTGCTGAGAGCAGACAAAAGAAGGTACTGAGGCTTCCAAGCAGTCACTTCTCCCATAACACAGTAGAGGTCGAAGAAACCCCTCTCCAATGCTGTTGTTTGTTATTAAATATATTTTCAGAAAAGGTTGGGATAAGTGCTTAGAAGTGAAAAATACTGACAGCTCTTGATGTCCTTTTAAAAACTTAAAATAACACTATTATTGTATTTTATTAAAAATACAACAGTAAAGGAAGTATGGCAAAGAAGTTATGTTTCCCATAACAGTTACTTGGAAACTTTCTTTAAAATACGAATTTTTTTTTTTTTTAATTATTTTCTGGTGGCGTAAGATGTGCTTAGCTGCTAGGTGGGTATTCCAGCAGTGCTGCCCAGACTACTCCAAACAAATAGTGACATCCCCAGCTTATGTTATCCAGATTCTGCTTAAAATATTGGTTTATAATTAGAGATTATTTTATTTTTTCATTACTTCTCTGGAAAACAAAAAGTAGCATGAAGAGAATAGGATGAAGGTGTGTATGTTATGGACAGCCTCCTGATGTGGTGTGTTAAGGTCCTGTCTAGTGTTCCGCTCGCCTCGGGGTGTGATGGCGGTGCCGGCTGCAGACCCCAGCTCCACTCACGCGTGGTTTTTTTTGGTTGTTTTTTTTTTTGGAGAGATTTTCACTGTAGGGCGCGTGCGCTCGCCAGACAGACACAGAGAGACATAGAGACAGAAAGCGAGAAATCACCCCCCAGGAGGGATGGTCACGCCGCAATCCCTTCTCCTCCATTCTCCTCTCGGGATCTTGGGCACGCACGCACACGCGCCCGGCGTGAGTTTTAAGCCACCGGGTCCGGGACACGAACTGCGGTCAACTACGTGGGAGTCCAGCGACATATCCATTACGCTAACTGCTGGTTCCCTCATGCGTGTTTCATTTAAACCAGCCTCTTTCTCTTCTCCTCCCTCTGCATGTCCCACACCACACACACACATCTATTGTACTAAGAGTACTAAGTCTGATTTAAAAAAAAAATTATGAGGAAGTAGGAGTTTACATTTTTCCTTCCAATATGCTGCTGATTTCCTTTATTTATAGGAGAGAGTGAGGAAATCAGAGAAAGTAAGGCTGTCTGATATGATTAAAATTAAAATTAACATCATTATGTTCTCACCCATTACTAAAGCATTCATTAAAAATATTTCTACTATTTATCCTCTTCATAGCTCCCATAAAACACCCAGTTGACAATTAACCTAAATGCACTATCCTATAAATATTTATGATGTTGTCATTTAATGTATGTCTTTTCCCTGTAATTATCTGTTCACATTAACGTAGGGGTGCAATGGCTGGTATAGGTGTTGAATACAGACGTTCTCCTCACTGTATTACATGCTAGAAAACTAAAGCACTAAGTGAAATAGTAAAGAGCAGAAGGCCTTCCACGGATGTGAGGTAAAAAACAAACAGTTTTACTGCGGACTTTGCAAATTTTCTACAAAGCCCTGCCGACAATATGATTTCTGGAGGTTTTCAAACCTCCCCACAAACCACATAAGCAAGAACCAGTGTGTTTCAGCTGATGTCACTGAAACCCGGTTGTAGTTCTTGGATGAGCTACATGTCAATTATGTTCTTAATGTGTCAAATGAGCTATTTCATAATGAAATATTTCTGCTGGTTTTTATGTTGCATTATCAACAATCAAGAAAATATTTTTTATTTAATATATGAAAATGTATGTGTTCCTAAGCTTTACTTTAGTTCTGCATTCTATTTATCGTTTCTCCTTGGAGAGCAAAAGAAGAAACTCATTTCTGGTTGAATCAAAGATTTCCTTATCTAGTTGATTTTTTTTTTTAATCAAGTTACATCCTGTTTGTGTCTGAATGACTGGGTCATATCCAACCTGGCTGGGAATGAAAGGAAATTGTTTCTGTCCTATGGGTCCTGAGAGGCTAATATAAACGAGCCAATGATCTGTCTCCCATGTATAACAGGGACACAGGGGTCCTTCATGGCCAGACTCATCGGCTGTGTTGTCTCAACAAAGGTTCTCTCTGACACGAAGTGCCACCTTTTGTCCTTCAAGAATTTTCTTTTCGAGCAGATTATAGCTTGTGAGAAGAGTTATAGTTTGTACTCATAAAGAGTATCTTTACCAATGAAGAAAATAAATCATATCTTTACTTATAAAGAAAATATATCCCATCAGCTGATAAAAGCAAAAACATCAAAGCCATATTTTTGATGACAGAATTACCTGTCACCTTTACCCCAACAGTAACTATTTTAGCCAAACGTCTTTAATTCCCTTACATATAGAGTAAATTGCATCTTTAGAAATCTAACAGCAGCAAGGGAAAAAAGTATCCATTATTTAAAATGAGTCTAGTCCTTTAAATCTTTGCCAGAGCAAATGTCTGGGAAAGCAAAGACTCCATTATCTGCAATTCAAGGATTTATTATCTGACACTGGGCATATCTCTTTGGTAATTCTGAGACATTTGGCCTACACACTGCTCTGGTTGGTCTCTCAAGGCAGGCGACCAGGCTCTGTGCTCGCTCATGCATCGGCTCCCGCTGAGACTACTAATAGGAGGGTTAACCGTTTCGTAATTTGTGTGCCAGAGAAATTTGGGCAGGAGTCAATTTGGCAAATGGACTGAGTCTGTAAAATCACTTTGAGTAAGCTAATGAGTAATCATCATGGGGATCTTTGCCTCCGGTAATCTGCTCCATCTTTTGAGCCAGTAACCCGTGGAATGATATTTGGGATTTTATTATTATTATTTTTTATCTCAGTGCATCATCTTTTAATAGAGTTTCTATTGTAATTTATTGAAACAGTAGGGAGGAAGACCATGTATGCATTTCAAGCATTTTAGTCATATTTAGAGAGCATACGTTCTAGCTTTGGAATAGAAAAGGCTGTTGTTTGAGCAGAGTCTTTTTTTTAAAAAAAGGCAAAATAATAATAAAAACTAGAAAACGCAGAAAGGGAGCAATTCTTCTCACCAGCAGAAAAAGCTAAAAGTAGCTCTGTGTATTGGATATAGTGTTTTTCTAGGTGGCAGCTCTGGATAAGTAGGTCAGTTGCATAGCAGTAGATGCTTCAGACAGGATTCTTAGTTTGAAGCAAGTGAAGCCATTGCTCACTGATGTAGGCAGAAAGAGCACTTACTGGTTGACTTACAGAAATATGAGTTGGCTCACATCATGGTTCAGTATGGCTGGGAAAGCAGGGAACCATCTCCTACTAGCCAGCATCCCAGACAAATGCCCTCTGTGATCTAGTCAGCAGCGGGTGATGCTTGCACTGATGAGAGCTGGATGGCGCAGCATGCCCCTCCCCTGACCCCAGACAGTCCTGCTGCCATCCCTCCTCCCTTTGCATCTCTATTTGAAGCCTAGGGTAAATGCCTGTGATTGATCTGGCCTAGGCTAGGCCACCTGCCCTCTTCTTAGATGCATGAAAGGCCAGGAAAGCAGCTAATAGACTTATCTGCTTCTATAAAGTGGAGGATCCTAAGACAGGAAGGAACTTCCAGTGATAAATGACAGAGAAATGACAAATGGATCAGAAGAGAATGAATAGCTTTGTTTATTTTATATGCCTTTTTCTTCCTCTTCCAAGTAATTGCTCTTTATTTGATCATTCGCATTGTAGTAGTCTATTTCATTAAATAATGGTTACCTTACTACACAGGGACAGATAGTAGTTTTAAATTTCTTCTTAGATTTATTTATGTATTTGCTAATATGGTAGAGGATCATCTTTAATAGTATTCTTTGTTGGTTTGTTTCTAAAGAGAGATACTTGCTATAGAGCACATATGCTCATCAGAGACACACAGAGAGACAGAGAGAAAGTGAGAAATCACCCCCCCCCCCAGGGGGATGGCCACACCACAATCCTTTCTCCTCCATTCTCTTCTTGGGATTTGGGGCATACATGCACACATGCCCAGTGCGAGTTTCAAGTCACCAGGTTTGGGACTCCAACCACGGTCAGCCATGTGGGTGTCTGGTGCTTTAACCACCATGCCACTTGCTGGCCTCTTTAATAGCATTCTTAGGAAGAGTATTTAAGACATTTTGAACATGAGTGATTATTTTAGTTCACTCCTGGATCTTTTTTGTGTAATTCATGGTTACATTTAAAAATATATTTTGGTTCCCAGGAGCATTGCAGGGCAATTATTATGGGAGAGCTGGAGGCTGAGGTCTGTGGTTCTGAGTGGAGATTTTGAGGAGAGGGCAGTTTGCCTGATGTTTGTTAATAGAAACAAGACAAACCTCTGCATCCAGGACCTCTTTCTCTTATCATTTTGAATTTGCTTATTCACTTCTTCCATGAACAAGAGAGAAAGAGATAGCACCCCCAACGCTGTCCTGATGCTAAATCCACCCCCAGCCAGCCCTGGAGCATGGACACGGTCATGTTCCTGGTGTACTCAGGGAAGTCTCCATATATGAACCTGGAACCCTCTCATGTAGGTCAGCCTCACAGAGTGGCAAATTTTACCACTGTTCAGCCTCACGTTCCTTCTCATGAAACTAGATTACGAGGAGGGGACAGATGAGAACTGCAGAGCTCAAATGCTGTGTGTGTCTGTGCGCACACACATGCATACGTGAGAGAGAAAGGAAGATAGAAAAAGATATTTTAATATATCTTATTATTACATATTTGTTTATCAGGATTGAGCGCATGGTTTGAGATGATCAGGTGGCAAAGAGGACAAGGATGCAGTGAGTGTTAAAAGATTGAGAAGAACAATAAGGAATGTAGTTAAATGTCTTTCGTGGTATGACAAACATGCACTCAGCTTTCTTCTTTTATAAATGACCATAATTGCTTTCATTTCTCATTTCCACTTAGAATTAGAACTAATTGCCTTTACATTTCTGCTGTGCTCCCACCTACATAGTTTTCTTTTTCATTCTGTAAAAGCATGTGTTTGGTGCCTCTTCATTCATGGCTCCCAGTCTGGGTGCTATTCTTGGAGCAACCACCCACTTTCTCACTAG